TTTGGTGAACGAATAAATGTAAGATGAAAAATCTACAAAATTGAAGCTCTGCCTTAAAACTCCGCAAGTAGTTCGAGTTTAAGTCAAAAGCTTCTGGTCAAAAAACAATAGGCTTTCAAGGATAATTTCCAGCTTTGCTTAACCAACCTCGTAGCTTTATCCTTCTTGAATTTATCCCGAAATTCGCACCTGAAGTTATAAATCAACACAGTTGATTTCGTGCTTCTGGACACAAAAATAATGTGGTATCAGCCTTCCACGTTCCTAAACTTCGCAATTTGGACGCAGAATTATTCGAACAGATATACATACAATGAGACAAATGTACACATAAATGGATTCACCAAAATGATTTTTGCATGGGCCATTAACGCAACAAAAAGCATAAGAACGAGGTACACATACCACGGTTCTGTTGTTACGAAATGTTTACACAAACACTGGATGTTCGTTTTATCACGCTCCTCAAACATATTAGGCGCCAAATTCCAGAAACCAATAGTGACGAGCTTTTCGCGTTGTTTGCAAAGTTTGAAAAGCTGGTTCTAAAAAAACAAATTTTAAGACTTTGAATAACCAGAGTCCAAACTCTGCAATCTTTCTATAACTCGAAGCCGATAAATTAAGCAATAAAGTCAAAGCAGTGCATCTGTTGTTGCCATTTTCATTATAAATGATAGAGCCAGTGTCAATTTCCCACTTTCTGATAAGAGGCTGAAGAATCTGGAAGCAGTCTAAGCGGTAACACAATGCCAACCATTCGCTAACACGGTTGGCGATGACTTCATCTTCCGAGAATTACTTAGAAGCAAACTTATGGAGGATCTAATCCTATGACATTGAAATTAATGGATAAAAAAAAAAAAACAAGTGTGGATTCAGGCATGACTTCAGAGCACGACTGTTAAAAACTGACCGACGTGTTTACCATATGTTACAGGCATGTAACAGATTTCAACGGATATTTCAGAAATTTAAGCGAAAAATCAATTTTCAGACATAGGAATTCATGGTTTTCTTCTGAAGCAGTAAGAACATACATCCGGAAGATGGCATGAAGCATCGTATGGATTGTCTTCGCTTGTCTGGATGTAATATTCCTGAGGACTGGTAGCCGGATCGCCTTTGCCATCTCTGTTACTCGCCTGTTCTTCCACTATCAAAAAAAAGGAAATGTAATTCACACACGGGAGAACCAGTAGTGAAGAATTTTTCAAAGCGGTGAACAGCAGTCCATAAAGCTCAACGACTGCTGCAGCACAGCTATATCATAAAATAAAGCAGTTACAGTTTTCCTGATCACCAGCAGCTGCACTAGCATCGTCAGCTACCTTGCTGCGATTTTGTCGTTTTGGAGTCCTTCGATACCGATTACCAGGTATTTGTACTTTCTTGAGTCGCAGCAGCGGGGAATCTTCGCTCTGCACAATCCTTAGTATCTATAAAAAAATGCGAAATTTCGAACAACTCATCGGCAAATTATAATTTGTAAATTTACGGTGATATACTTGAAAACAATCAAAAAAGCACTTCTCCAATCCGCTTCTAGCATCCAAGCCTTACATATCTGTTTGAAAAAAAAAAAATGCAACCCCTGCTTGCGAATTTCGTCCCGCAACTGCTACAGCATTTTTCAGGCGTTCACGAAATTCCTTGGCTTTAAGATCCTGCTCCTGAAATACAAATTTAAATCCGCCGTTCCAACAATTACAGTTTTGAAAACACTGAGAATAATAAAACAAATAATAGGCAAACAAAAAAAACCTCATCATAATAAATCATGCGCTGTTTTTGAGAGTCAGTCCCGAGAAGCGACAGAATAAACTAACATCCGACGTTTAACCTAATTTTTCCGATTTTCCGCTACTTCACTAATC